TTTTTTTTTTTTTTTTTTTTTTTTTTTTTTTTTTTTTTCCTTTTTTTTTTTTTTGTTAGATTCTCAAAAGAACAGCTGCTGCATTTTCCTCTTGTCTCTATTTGGGTTTTTTTTCCATTTGAAAAAAAAGAAATAAAAGTAGATGCAACAGAAATAGCTTTTTAAAGGCTTCTGAATTGTAAAATGTGTAAGAAAAAAATGATTAAATCCTCATCATCCAACAAATACATGTTTGAAATAATCAATTGCATTAAATAAATAGCCTCTCAGTTAAAAACCTTTCTCGCTTGCCGCTCATTTCATTGTCCTTCTCTTTTCAGTTTACAGCTCTGTGGCTGTCACAAAGTCCAGAGGAAGGGTCCCCATCATAAACCTGCTCCCTAAAAGAGGCCTGTGCTGTGCCCACACGCCCCACCACCCCTCAGACCTCCAGAGCCCCGTTGCTCAGCAGGCCTGGCTCTTCTCTCTCCTCGTCCAGAGCTCGTCCTGCAGCCCCCAGCCCAGGAAAGGAGCATCCAGACCTCTGAACCCACTGGAATGAGAACGGTGATTCCAGATCTGCTTCTGCTCATTCCAGGATTTTGTTAACGTACCTGGAATTTGGAGGAAGAGTAATATTTAGCACTGGGATTATAGTAAAATACACTCTACCTGTTTGGAAAATGCTGGAAAGGACTTTATATCTGCACAGCTCAGGTAAAAAACCCATGAAAATATGATGTTTTATTTAATATAAACCCTCATGGAGTGTCAATACCATTAAGTATTATCTGCTATACAAAATTAAGAAACGTTTATATCTTATCTATGAACATTTTTTAAAAGCTTGCTTCTAAATACACTAATTAATTGGAATCTGATTTATTAAATTTCATTCACCAATAAATGTATTTGGTGTCAGTTTTTTTTGCTTGTGATCTCAAGAAAATAAAAATATTAAATCAACAGAAAGATTATCAGTAAATTGTATTATTTTATATATAGATTTGATTTTCCTAAGTCTTAGGAAAAAGACATTGAATAAGAAATTATTAACACTAATTAAATAAAAATAAAGATCCACCTTTTATTCTGATGAAAGATTTTTTTTATTCAATATTCGAGATGAATATTTTCTATTTTCCATTTTTTTTTATTATGGGGAAAAAATGTTTAATTTAAGGCCATCAAGTTTTGAAATAGCAATTTCTTTGTTTACATCACGTAGATTTTTTTTCCTTAAAAAAGCCTAAAATTAAGATAAGAAAATACATTTTTGTTTATAAATGGTCAACATAATAATAAGAGTAGTAATAATAATGGATAAAACAAAATTACAAACTATATATAGCATATATTTCTACTTTGGGTTGAAGGGGTTAAAATAATCATACAAAACTCAATAATATTTTGGAAGCAATTTATTTAAAATGTGGAAAAACAAAAAAACTTGAATCCTCTGTTGTTTTTAAAACGCTTCTGTGACTAAAGAAAAAAATTCGTTTTTTTAAACCTTTCTTCATCGCTTATTGTTTGATTTGGAACAAAAATGGCGCAGGCCTCTCTAGCTGTGCAACTATTTCAGTTATTATTAAAGTTAGTTTATATTTTAGGTGATAAAACATGGGCCTTGAAGAGAGAACTTGCCTTTCATTTTTTTTTTATTGAATAATTAATTTACTCATATTCTGAGCATTTCAAAAAAGATGTGTTACACAGCTTGGAAATGAGTTTAAAGATATTTTTTCACTCTTTATTCTCCTGTTTCACTTTAATTAAATGCCCACTCCTGGGAGTCCAAGCAGTCAAAGACTTTACGCCTTTATTGCGCCTATAAACGTCGGAAATCCCCTTTTAGTGCTTTGGAAACACCAGTAGGCCAAAGAAAAGATGCATTTTGATTAAAGCAAAACGGAAATAAGAAGAAAAAAGAAGGATAATGAAATGCAGAGTGATAAAGCTATCTCTTTTAATGGAATCTAGCTGCTTATTCAGGCTGGACTCAGGAATAGTAGGAATCTTTGAAAATAGTTTATTTATTTTATGATGATGTTGTTTAGTATAAGGCTTAGTCAAAAATAATGAATACAAGTTATTCGCTGTTTTAAAACATACCTATTTTAATAAGGCAGTCTTTATATCTTATATTAAACCGCAAGAGCTTCATTAATATGTGCTGATCATTCATTTACACTTTAGACTCCTTTTTAAAAACTGCATTCACTAGAAAATATCGAAATCTACATTAGACATTTTTTCTTTTAAAAAAATGCATTTGTTATTGAATTGAGGAGGTAAAATAGACATTTTGCATGGAACAAGACAATTTACACTTAAAATAAGAAAAAAACAATTGCATTGTCTTATTTCAACTGCATATTATCTAATTATCTTTTTTTAAGAGTAAAAACACTCGTTTTATCTCTTTTAACTATTCAAATTAAGGGTAAATACACTGAATTTAAGATATTTTACTTATTTTTAGATTTTTCTTCCAGTTTATGAAGAATAAAGCATATTAAAAGCTTACATATTAATAATAAATGCGTTGCTCTGCGGTATTTATAAGAGATGTGAGGTAAACAAACCTTTCGCATGACGGAGGAATCATGCGCGCACCTTAGATTTTCACCTGCTTGTCATACATTTTTAAAATCAAACATTTCTGCTCTTAAAAGAAAAAAAAGATGGCGAAGGGAAAGAGCATCCAGAGCACAAAAACCTCTGCGGTTTATGAAAATTTACAACTTTCCCGTGGAAGTTTACGACTCGTCCGGCTCTGGGATTGGCTCCTGGGGGTCATGTGGCCAGCAGGAATGGGAACTTGGTCCCCATGAGGTTATAACGCAGCTGCTGTTTTCCACCGCTCATTCACCTATAACACTTTGTTTCACGGATCATTTTTTGTTTTTGTTGATTGTTGTTTTGTTTATTTTTTTCCCGAGTATTTCTTGATCAGAATCAGTGATGAACTGTACAGAAACTGCCTCACTGCGTGATTTTTTTTAGGGGGGGAGTGATGGCGCCTCTTGCGCGGTTAACGGTGCAAGCTTGTGCGCCACGTTCATCTGGCTGCACCTCTATGCATTTGGAAAAGAGGGATCAGCATACTCCGATGGAGGGATTACTTTCAAGATGTCACTTTAGGAAAAGTGGGGATTTTGTGCGTGTGTGTGCTTGTGTGTGTGGAGAAGCAAGAGGAGCTTCAGTGGAGTGGCAGCCATGCTGGAGATGATGGATTATCAACAAAGGTAAGGGCACCCTGGTTGTGACTGCGCTGCTGCTGGTGCTGCTGCAGGACTGCTGTGGCTGAGCTGTCACAGCGGGCCTGATGTTTACATGACTCCAAAAGGGGAAAATCGCCCCTTCGGGGAAGGGCACTTATTCAGAAAGCGTGTTTTCTACTAGTGTTTGAGCTTCTATCAAGCAGCTGCTTGCTCTGATTAACCCCTGAGATGCTGCAGCGCCTTCAACATCCAACATCTATCTGCTAAAGTGCGTAAAATCTGCAGCAGGGTTTTGGTTTTGAAGCCCCTCTTGGATTCTGAAGGAGTGAAATGTGGATGTAGGCCACAAGCTTTGACTTTGATGATGGTGGTAATAAAGATGGGGGTCATGCAGGACCTCCACGACTGATTCAAGCTTTTATTTTTAAATTTGATTTACTTATACACTACCTTTTTTGTTTGTTTATGTTTTTAACGTTGTATTCTGGATTTTGCTCTGTTTGTTCGAGTAAAACACGTCCAGCGCCTTCTGGTGACGTTGTGTTGCGCCATTACCTGGTTGCGCTTTTATTTCTCACGATACTTTACATGTCTAACAAAAAAACAAACAAACAAAAAAAAACAAAACAAAAAGAAAACCAAGAGATTATAAGCCTTTATTAATCTTTATTTACTTTAAGTTTTTCCTGCTACATTGATACATTTATTTTTGTTTTTATACTTGTGGTGCCTCTGGGCGTTTATCATTTTCTTTTTTCGAACAAAAAATAACTTAAAACAAAGATAATTATGTTATTTTTTTTTATTAGAAAAACAATAATAAGTGTCTAGAATTCGACATAAGCACTAATATCCCAGAAAGTATTTTTCTTTTAATTCTGAACATCATTTCAACATTTTTAAAGAAATTAATGCTCAATGGAAATGAAACAAAAACGAGGGAAAAAAATCAACTATTGTATAGTTTACTTATAAAAAAAATATTTAGAAAAGGAAATAGAAGGAGGGGAGGCCTATTTTATAACCAAAATGTTCTAGCTGTGCTAAACAGATTAACTACGTGATAAATGTTTAATATTCGTTTTTTTTTTTCTCCAATATACTTAAATAATCATATTTTTACTGTGTGGATCATTAAGTATTTTAAATGTAACTTGGATCTCATTATTTATTTATTTCTCTGCTTAAGTAATGCTTTTAACTCAGAGCCATTGGTTTAAAGGAAAGGATTAAAATGCACTGAAATGCAATAATCCAGTCACATTTGACGCCTTGACTTCTGTGCAGATATTAGGGGAATAAACTCTAATTAATGTGGTGAAATGATGCACATACCTGGATATTATCACACCTTTTTATTTTGACTTTGGGCTTATTGTACTCTTGCTCTGCGTGCGTTAATGGTGATGATGGTGATGGTGATGATGGTGCTTGAGCGTGTCCTTTCTTCCTGCACGTCGGAGTCACATCTGGGCACATCAGGAGGGACGCACACCTTTGAGGAAATGAAAACATGAAGGAAATCAGTTAGTCGTTGATTGTTGAGATGCTGCTGGAGAATTAAGTGTTTTATCACTTTGGCTCTGCTGAAATTTGTTAATTAATAGGCTGGAGGTGGAAATGGAGATGGGCAGTAAAACATAGGGGAATCATTGCTTTGATTTTGTTTATCCGTATACCTGTTTATACTTATCTTGTGTCTAACAAAGCATGTTGTACTTTTATGTTTTTTTTAATTATGTAATATGTGAGTTAAAGCGCGCCCTTATGTGAGCGCACGTAAAGACCGACTGGCTGGAGCGTTTCATTTCGATTCACCGGGGACTCCTGTGCGCAACAAGAGCCCCCCATGGGTGCAATAGTGCAAGCACAGGCGGCGGTGATTGGCCAGAGGTTGATCAGATGGTACACTTCCCCTCTGTATCCAGTGGCACCTCACAGCCCCCCTTTCAGCAAAAACCAAATCTCCGATAAAGTAATGGCAAAAGCACTTGGACTATAAAAGACAACAAATCATATTCCTCCGGAGTAAATACACCCCGTTGTCCACCCAATGAGTTCCTATTTCGTTAACTCAACTTTCCCCGTGTCTCTGCCGGGAGGACAGGACTCTCTCCTGGGTCAGATACCGCTCTACTCCTCGGGATACACGGACCCGTTGAGGCACTACTCCAACGCGGCCACGTATGGAGCGGCCAACATGCAGGAGAAGGTCTACCCGGCTTCCTACTACCAGCAATCGGGCGCGGCGGCGGCAGCGGCCATCTACGGCCGCGCAGCCGCCAGCGGCGGAGCGCCCTGCGACTATAACCCCGTTGGCACTTTCTACAAGGACTCGGAGGGCTCGTGCGCCTTCTCGAGTGGCCGCGAGGAGCAGCCGCTGTTCGTCACTCAGGAGCACCAGCAGCGGAAAGCGGAGTGCGCGGAGCAAGCTGTCAGCATGAGCGGCAGCATCGACGACAAGTCCTCCACTCTCATCTACCCCTGGATGCAGAGAATGAACGCCTGCTCCGCCGGTGAGTCTTTACACGCCTTTTTAACTCACTTTGCTGCGCTTCAGGAATAAAATTAAATAAAATAGAATAAAAGGGGTATTTATTTCAACTTTGAAAAGTCAAAATGCAGACAGAAGCAGGATGACAGAGTAGATAAGGAATGTGGTCACAGCGGTGGTGCGCGGATCTTCGTGCGTCCTCGCAGTTTTGCCCGCAAACCCCGGGCTGCACGCGCGCACCCAGCAACGCACGCACTGACTGGGCCTGCATAAAGCCCGTGTCACATGGCGCTTTTCAAATTTTACTTCAGAAACTCTTCCAGTTTCACACTTCAACTACATTCAACTGCTTATTTAGTAAATAGTAGAATAAATTCTAGATGCACGAACAACAACAAAGCCAACTATACCTTTAAATAATCCTTTATAAATATTACAAAACTGATGTATTGTTATGTTTAATATAGTGCTGATTTATAGTAGTGTTTCTTATCATGTCCACTTGGCGATTTTAGATTAAAATGTAAACAACAGAGCTCATGAATCTCAGTTGTTTAGATATTTACAGGAACATAAAATACATCACAGTGTGAATATAGATATAGATTCACATTTCAGAACGTTGTAATCTATTCTATTTGAAATATTTGCTTCTTTTAAACAAATGTAGGCCAGTAAAATGTTTAAAAATAACATCACAGTCAAGTTAAAGAACTGCTGCGTCTCTCGCCTTATCCTAAGGAGCAGATATCTGCAATTTGTTGTGTCTTTATTTTACTGTTTATTAATATTGCTTTTTAAATAACTGAATGATAAATTATGATTTATTTTCACCCCCACATGTTTTCATTGCAGGCCCATTTGGCAGCAGCGGCCGGAGGGGCCGGCAGACCTACACCCGCTACCAGACCCTGGAGCTGGAGAAGGAGTTCCACTTCAACCGCTACCTGACCCGGAGGCGCCGGATAGAGATCTCCCACGCCCTGTGTCTGACGGAGAGACAGATCAAAATCTGGTTCCAGAACCGCAGAATGAAGTGGAAAAAGGAGAACAAACTCCTGAATCCCTCAAAGACAGCCGAGGAGGAGCAGGAGGAGCAGGGGGAGAAGAAGAGCTAAGCTTCAAAGGGGACTCTGAGACAAAAAAAAGAAGAAACGCTTGAGTGTGCGCGTGAATGCGTGTGTGTTTGTGTGTGTGCACACATAAAATGATGTATAAAATCTTTGTAGATATAAGAAGTGCTGCAGAAACCCCACGTAAGAGACGTGTAGAGTGACTGAGTATTTGCACGGTGACTCCGTCCGCATTGATCAGGTCCTCCTCTGTCTGTCTGTCTGTCTGTCTTTGTGCTTGTGTCTTTATTTTAGAGGGCTATGCAACAACCCGCCAAACTGTAAATAAATTCCAGTGTTTAAAGTTCTCCGTGTTGTTACCTCATCACTGTAGGCCCGCTGGGTCCCACCTTTATTTAACCTCCATGACATTAAAGCAGGTTTTTTTTTTTCTTTTTGTCCCTTGTTGTGTAGTTGCTCTGATGTGATATAGCTTGTTGTTTACCGATCAGTTCAATTTGTACAAATGTTATTTATTGTTGTTTCACGTGTTCAATGCACATCTGGATATTGTGTGCAATATTTTCTTTAGGGGAATTGTACATATAATAAAATAAAGGCTTTTTGATGTAAAACGATACAAATCTTTTCCCATTCTTTTGAAGAAAAGCTTATTATTACTCTTATTATTATTATTGCGGCGTCTGCAGTCGTTCAGGCCACCCATAAGGCCCATAAAATTATAAAACATCAAAGCAAAGAGTGAAATAAATCTCAGTTTTGACGCACTGTAGGCCTAGTGCGACATGACAGCAGCGGTGCTGATAAACTTTTTGTTATGTGTTACCTGAGCCTCCTGTGTGGCCTGTTGTTATGAGCGTTTTTACGGAAATGATGGATGGACTTCGCGCGGCCTCGCAGCGATGCCGCCTCTGTCCGGCAGATGGCGCTCGCCGCCCGCGCGGCTCTCGGGGGCGCAGCGGGGAGGCACCATTGACTGGAGCCTAACGACCATTATTTCGTCATCATTTGTAACCATGGAGCATGAATTACCTCTTGAAGTCATCAGTGAGGATTTACGACTGGTCAACAAAGGCACGTGATTCCCGAGCGCTCTCCCATATTTGGCCGCATACCTGGCAAAGTACAGTAGGGCTTCATTGCTTATAATTCATGATTGCGTCCATAAATCGTGCAAGCACACAGGATTATAGCGACAAAGATCTACAAATCGAGGCTTTAAAAATCCAAGCAAATGAGCTCTTACTTTGTAAACTCGTTCTCAGGGCGCTATCCAAATGGCTCCGACTATCAGTTACTAAATTATGGGACTAACGGCGCTGTGAGCGGCTCCTTCAGAGACCCTGGCACCATGCACTCCGGGTCTTTCGGCTACAACTACAATGGCATGGACCTAACCGTGAACCGCAGCAACACTGGCGGCCACTTCGGTGCCGTGCGTGAGGACGCCCGGGGATTCGCACCGGACGCCCGCTACAGACAGACGGCCAACTGCTCGCTCTCGTCCCCGGATTCGGTGCCGCCTTCGTGCGCCACGGCCGGCCGAGAGCAACTGGAGCTCAAGAGCCCCTCTCCCCCCTCTGACCGGAGCGCGACCTCTTCATCGGGAGGCAACAGCCTCGGCAAAGCCGGGGGCGCCCACTTCGCTGAGATAGAGGACGCAGCAGCAGCCGCTGCCGCAGCAGCAGCAGCCGCCGTCGCTGCGGAGACCGAGGAAGGCGCGCACAGCAGCGGCGGCGGTGGTGGCGGTGGCTCCGCCGGGGCATCCAGGGCGCAGCAACAGCAGCAGCACCAGGAACCAAACGCCACATCCTCCACCCCAACACCAAACGAGTGCCAAACGCCACAAATATTCCCCTGGATGCGGAAACTGCACATAAGCCATGGTATATTCACACACCTATAATATTATTCTGTTTGGAGGGATGTCACGCTGCCGGTGTGCCATTAATCTGTCAGGGGTTGCATGAGTGAGCAGGCTGGTGGAGAACAGGGCTGTATTTGTTAGGTGTTTGTGGGCTTGTTTGTTTGTTTTGTTGGAGGAGTTTACAAAGTGCTGCACTCTGAGAGGAGGGTGTTTTTGTGCAATCATGAAATCTGGATTTAAATTGCGCAAAATGTAGAAATATGCTTTCTATGAGGGCTGCAAATAGGAAAGGCGATAATACCAGACAGTTTGCATGTATGCATGCTTTCCTTGTTCCTTTTTCATCCCGTTCCATCATTAAAAAAGAAAAAAAAAGAAGAAAACATTTGGTTAAAAAAATAAAGTAAGATGGCATTATCCTCCAGTTGTGCAGGTTGTTTTAATGCAGGCTACTAATTTTCTGGATTTTTTTTTTTTTTTGTGTGTGTGTGTACAAAATTGTAGATATGACTGGACCTGACGGGAAAAGGGCCCGAACCGCGTACACCCGCTACCAGACGCTAGAGCTGGAGAAAGAGTTTCACTTCAATAGGTACCTAACCAGACGGCGGAGGATAGAGATAGCCCACGCCCTGTGTCTTTCCGAGAGACAGATCAAAATCTGGTTTCAGAACCGCAGGATGAAGTGGAAGAAGGACAATAAGCTGAAAAGCATGAGCCTTGTGACAGGAGGCAGCGCCTTCCACAACTAAGCAACTTTTTTGGGGAGAGGCATTAAAAAAACAACAAAAAAAATACACGAGAAAATGTTGATAAAATTCCCCCCAAAAATGAGAAAATGATGAGTACTGTAAAGCTTTTGAAAGCGCAGCACCTTCCAGCATGCTATTGTGATAGAAAAAAGAAGTATTATGTGGTCTTTAAATGCCATTTTTTTTAGTTTACTGTTGTTGTACTATTATAGCTTAGATGTCCTATTTGGGGAGGGGTAAAAAGAATATTAAGATGTAAATATCATTCTGGGAATTTGTCTCTTTCTGTCTCTTCTGTCTCTTAAAGTTGAGCTCTTTATTGTAACTTCTTGACGGTCTAACAGGAGTAAAATCATTGTACAGTTAAAGAAGGAAAAAAAAAAAGAAATCCCAAACCATATGCTGCTCTTCATTGAATGTAAAGCGCTTTTAGTGATGGTTATTTGTGGCCAAAATCCATTGAAAAGTTTCATAAGCAAGCCAATGTGTAGCTCTAGAGAATACGTTGTGCGTTTATTATTATTATTATTATTCTAATTATTATTGTTTAGAATAACAAGCAATGCAAGTGTATTCAACCTGTCAATGTGATGAATTTTTAGTGCAAAGGATTATTCTGTGGATATAGGCAGTGATGTGGGCTTTTTTGAGCTTTTTGTATTTGTAAGTGAACTCATAGCGCTTGAAAATAAACTTTCCTTCAGTTGATTTTGTGTGCAGTGAATTATCGGTTAGAATAAAAACAAATACACGCAATTTCTTGACTTTTCCGGAGTTGATTTTTTAAGCGCAAAAAAGAAGAAGAAAAAAAGAAACTTTCCCTACTTGCCAAATTAATGATTGACCCGTAGGCAATGCGTGTTATTTTTTAAACCCTCCGTTTAAAATGAAAGAGAAGACTTTTTCTGACTTACCTCGTCTCAACTCCCTGAAGCGACACGAGATTTTTTTTTTCCACGAGAGAAATCCTGATCAAATCCATCTCTTATAATATTAATAAAAAGATTTCTTTGAGCCTAAAAGGTATATTGGCAAGGCAGAAGTTGGTAAAAAATACCCCCTTACCAAAGATTGTAAAGGCCTATATTACTTAGAGACTGTGAAAAGTCACGTGAGGTCCATAAAGTTGGTTTTATGGTTTTGGGGAGTAGACAATGTACTATATAATTCACAACCTTGAATGAAAGTGACGGCTTAACTGCATGGATGGGACTGCAAAGGGTGGACTTGGGAAGGAAGAGATGTCCAGTCATGTTTTCAGTCAGTTAGAACTGAGGGAAATGTAAAAAATATTTACTTTTGTTTCACATTCACTCCATATTATCTTAATAAACACCCTAATAAAAATAACTATTTACAAACATGATGCTTTGGCAAATTATGTTCAATATTCTGGTGATATATATATAATTTCAGCAAATTTACCCATCTACATTAAATAAAACTTTTTATTAAATTAAGCATGCACATCTGCTTTAATAATGCTTTAGAATAGAATAGAATAGAATTAAAAAAAAAAAACTTTATTGTCACACAATGGGGAAATTCTGGTGTTTTAGCAGCAAAAATCTATAGAAAAAATAGTAACACAAATGTGGACCTTAGAAAATTGTATATAGAATTTAACAAGAATGCAATAAAGTCATCAAACTTTTCTGAGTGCAACAAAAATAAACATTTTCCCTTGAAAAGCATTGATGTGCTTTTTGATACAAAGATGAGCTTCTGGATGGTATATTAATAATAATAAAAACCAACAATAGTTATAACTGAATCCTGCATACTGGTTTATAAAGTTAGATGAATATTGTCTAAATTCAAACAACTTCAGCTACTTTATTTTGGTAATATTACTTTAGTATTTCTATACAGATAAAGCTGAAGATGTTGCCCCAGAGAAACAGAAGCCTTATTGTTTAACGGAAAACAATAAAACTGCTGTGTTGATATTGATTGTATTAAAAATGAAAATATCAACTTAGAAAATGTTAAGAACTGTCATAACACTTGTCAGAAGTAAGATTTCTGTGGTGGGGCAATCATTTCAAATTTTGTTTTAGCTTGTTTAGCACTAAAGTTAAACAATTTTACTACTAAAAGTGTATCCTATTAGGGTAGATTTGAAGCTTTTCTAAATGAAACTAAACTCCCTTTTGCTTTGCAAAATGTCACTTAAACAGAAATAAAGTTTTTGAATCTTGATAGGGTGTGTGTCTATTGGTAACGTCTGTGTCTGAATTAGAGGCTTATCTTGCTAGCATTTATGATATTAGCATTAGCTATGTCACGTTACTTCCGTTGTTGTTACTTCATAAAGCTTTATAAACGTAATTTTTTCTTGGATTTTTCTTTTCTAAGAGAGCATGTAAACTTTTTTTTGACAACACCTGTTTTTAATTGTCTTTAACCGCCTCACGGTTAAGAAGCTACTTGCTAGCTAGCTTGAGTCTAGCATGCTAAATGCTAAGCTAGTTAAAGCCCGTAGGCATTCATACACTCATATATTTTTACACTAAAACTTTCTCAACCACAGTTCTTTATTTTATTAAACTGACATGTTTTTGGATAATACAGCTTTAATAAATAAAGATTTATTGTTTTGTTTTTGAACTGAGTAAACATTTCACTACAATTTTAGCCAAATCCTACATATTGGAGATTTGTAAACCAAAATATTTGCAAAATTAAAGAATTTAGCACTACATGAACAAAGTTGATAACAAAAATGTAGGCAATACAGTTTTACTGTCAAATGTTTTCACTTGAATAGCCTATTCATTTTTACAGTGCAGATGAAATTAAAAAGGTCATCCACTTTATTGCGTGTGTGTTCTGCATAATAACATAATATATTTATTCTATGGAAACGAACACAAGTTTTCTTAGAGGATTTTATCAAATTTTTAGTCTGTTAAAATAAAGATTTTCTGTTTAAAATATCCTATGCGTTTTGCCGAAAGGTTATATGTGTATT